AGGCCAAAAGTTTAAGATCAACTTGGGCAATCTAGCAAGACCCCCATCTCTACAAAAAATTAAGATATTAGCTGAGCATGGTTGTGCACACCTGTAGTCCCAGCTACTAGGGAGGCCAAGGTGCGAATATTGCTTGAGCCCAGGAGTTCAAGGCTACAGTGAGACACAATCATGCCAAACCACAATCATACCAAAGGCAGGAGTGAGATCCTGTCTCAAAATAAAATTAAAAAGTATACTGAGTGTTGTAATGAGTATACGAGGAGAAGTAAACTGATGATGGATCACACTGCAGAGGAACCAACCTACCGAAAGAGAAAAAGCCTATAAGTAGACCTTAATGATTATTCTGATTTGAGAACTAAGAAAAAAGTTTATTGAAAGAGGTAGAAAAAAGATAATCCAAGCTAAAGGAACAGAACTGGAAGAGATAGAGGGGTAGCATATTGAAGTAACTAAAAGAAATTCAATGGATAGAGTGTGGAGTATTAGAGGTATGGTGGGAATGAGCATGAAAGGTGGGCAAGGGCCAGATACTACAGGGCGTTGCCACCCATGTTAAGGAGAACAGATTCTATCTTAAGTGTACGGGAAGCTATTGAAGAGTTTTTAAAAGAATAGTGACATAATTCAATTTGTAATCATCATTCTCGTAGCTGAGTAAACCAGAGTGGGAAAAGGATTAAAGGCAGAAGGGCCAATTAGAAGGCTGTGACAATGATCAAGCTGATGATTACCATGGCCTGGAGTCATGTAGTGGCAGTGGGGATGAGAGGGAAAGAAATTGGTTCAATAAATATTTATGTGCATAGGGCACCAAGAAAAGAGATAGAGTCAAGGATGACACCTTAGTGTGTTAGGTTTCTGGAGTTCAAAACTGGGTGAGTGGGAGTGGACTTGTGGAAATAGGGAATACTGGAGAAACAGGTTTAGAAAAAGGAAAGAAGACATGAATACAGAGCACAGTGAAAAGATTAGCCTCCCAAGGGATGAGGAAACCTCTTCTGCTATAACAGGAATAACATGGGCAGATGGGTACAGATCTGTAGACATGATAGCAGGAAGTGAAGGGAGTGTCCATCTGAAGGCTTCTCTTTTGTTTTTCCAATAGTGGAAAGGTAAGTCATCTGCTGAAAGCAAGTGCAGTGAATAAGGAGTGGAACATACATACTGGGGAAGAGTAGAAAGATTTGAAGTGGTTTTAATAAACCCTAGCTTGACATTGACCAGGGAAACCTAGCTGTATTGTTAGGCAGTACTGAAGGGCCAGCTAAGACCAATAGTCATAAATTTATAATGTACTAATTCATAATTTTATAATGTATTAATAGTAGTATCTCTTTAATAACAGAGTTTATCCGTCAGACCATCCAGTATGCGAAATGATGTATGATGTTGCATGCTAAATGTATTAGATTTATTTGCTCTGATTGCTTTTCTCAATGTCGAGAAAAATTACAAGAGTAAAATTTGTGAACGCATGCAGGAAAGTGAAATTTACTCTCCATATAAGAAAACAACTCTATGCAGCTCAAAGGGGACGATGCAGAAAACTTAGGAGAGGGTGAAAGGATACACATGTCTTCCTTTAACAAGATTAAAGAATGCCTCTAGTCAAGATGTTTCTTTGGCCTCCTATGGTTAAGTGCAGGTAAAAAAAAAAAATTACTTGTGGAAAACACAAGAAAATAACTGACTGTCAACATGAAAGCCATCACAGTTTGTAATGAGTGTTGGATTTCTTAAACCATGTTTGTATGAATGCTTTAGGAATAAGACTGATTTGTAGAAGCAAAAGAACATGCCAATCTAAGCAGGGGCAGTATTTTGGAAACATCCAGGACCAGTTTCGAATTATATGAGGTCTCCACTCCTTAGAGATTATGACCCCTACACCCACACCCACACACACACTGCCATGACAACAAGTACCCTGCGAACTGAACATGACAAGTGCTTTACATTTATTAGTTCATTTGATTTGATTTGACTAAATTTAGTTTTCACAACTCTATGAGAATGGTATTTTAACCCAATTTTCACATGTTAAAAAAAACTCTGAGGCTTACAGAGATAAATAACTTTTCCTGACCTTGCGGGGTAGTAAAAAGAAGAGTCAATATGTTATTTAAAGTGTATTCTAACTCTAAAGAGAATACTGTTTCCCTTACATCATGCCTTCTAAATAGACAAATGCCTTTGAAACATAGTAGAATGTACTTGTACCTTTGCCTCCAACTACTTGCAAGTCATAAGCCACAAAATTACATTTAGCCACACTAGCAAAATCCAATTATTACCCAATTTTAAAATTTACATTTATAATAAATATAAATACTTGTATTTAAATGACATTTATAGCTTTCTTATGGTGAGCACATCCATTCTTTTTTCTTTTTCTACAATAACTCTGTGAGGGAGGTCATGACAGATATATAGCCTACCATAGTCATATGACTGTGCTTTCCTGGACTTGATGACTAAACAAACTTCAAATTCAAAAAAACACTACTGGCCCACACCTTCTTAGGTCATCTGCTTTTTGGTTGTTTTTTTCTGCTAATATTGTTATGACGGTCCCATTGAATGATTCATATTTCCTCCTAAACAAAGTGTGTTAATACACATTTGTAGGGAAATATGTCCAGAGTTTAAGACTTCATGGATCTCTTAACCACACTGTCTCCCCATCAGCAGGCAAAATAACCAGTCTTAATAGTTCTTACATAGCATAGTTCATCTTCCAGAAATGTAAGTGATCTCTACTATGTCCCTGAAAACTGTTCCTGTCATTCCTTCTCAGTCTAGCTGCCTTGGTTTTGTGACTGTTCAACCAGAAGAATGAAATCAGCCTGTAACCAGAAGGCAGACTACTTTTATATTTTTTGTATAATGTGATTCTACATTTCTCATTCATGCAATCTCTTAAAAAGAGAATAGGTCAGGGCCTATCCTGCCACTCCCTGAGGATCTAAAGATGAAGAGTCAACATCTTTAAACTGGTCCCTGTTATGAACAATTCCTTCGCCTCACAAACCATAATTTCCTGCCCCACCTCCCTTTCTGTGTTGAGCTCATCATGCGGGAAGTCACTTTCAGACTGAATCCAATTTTCCCCATACCTTTCCCCCGACTCATCCCCAAGTTCTGTTGTGAATAGTAATAGAGCACTGGGATTTGCGCTAATATGTTAATTACGAGACATCTAAACAACATATGTTGAGTAAGTACCTTTGGTAAAAAGGTGTTTGCTGCTGAGCATTCCAGGAAATAAAAAGACATACAAGAAAGAGCATGCATAATTAGAGAAATTTTCTGGAAACAAAAAACAGAAGATAACACTTTAAATCCTAGTAAAAATTATTAAACCAAAAGAAAAATTTTATAAGCCATTAAAATATTTAAATTACTTGGCTCAATAAGCCTCTTCAGTTTATTCTGAAGAAAAATTCAACTGTAAGATGACAAAGAAAAACTGTTTGTGAAGGTAGTCATTCAAAGAATCATCTACAATTAAAAAAATAGAAAATATCTAAATACTTCACATTAGAAGATAACTTTGGTACTTTATGATAAGTCCATTTAATGTAATATGATTTACCTTTAAAATGCAGCCATTAGAACTGCTAATAAAGGATTAATCTTGTGAGTTTTAAATTATATAAAACTACAAAGTTATAAATATATAGCTACTAAAAATAAAAATTAGTAATACCGATATGTTTGTGAAATAATATTAAGTATAAAAAGCATAACACAAAATTATATACCATGATATAACTATATTTAAAGGTACTTGAAATTAACATGTAAAATTTAAAAATGTTTTGTTTATGTAAGTTCATTTTTTAAACATTTAAATCTTGTTATATTTATTTATTTATTGCTAAAAAAAAATGGCAGAATGTCAGGCATGAGATACAGTATGTAAAAAGTATATTTGGGAAGGGTAGAGAGTAATCACTTATTCCTTTCTTTGTTGTTTGCTTTGCACATTATATTTTAAAAAGTCAAATAATTGAACACATCTGAAGTTGCAGTACTGGAGTAAATTTAACCATTAGTGGTCAGTGCTTTACAAGATGAAGTCAAAGAATTTTATAATTGAAAGAGTCCTTTAAGACCTCCTGATTCAACTTCCCATTTTCTTAGTAGATACATGTGACTCATGGAGAAATAAGTAAATTTTTTCCCTTAAGCTACACAATTAGTTGGTGAAAAAGCTAAGACTAGAATTCATGTTGTAATAATAATAATATTGTAATAATTCTATTACAAGTTCCAATTCTTTAGCATTCATTAGTTCTCACAAAGTAACCCCAGTATAACCTTCCAAATTTGTATCCTGCTTTGCAATGTTAGACAGGAATGCCCTTTTTCCCCTCCATGCTAGTCTTGCCTGCTTTCTTGAGCTCTCCATCTTTACCCTAACCCCCTACACACTCATACTGTCTTCTTCCATCTGCTCCTCTTCTAGTAGTAGTGTGTTAGAATACTTTTTTCAAATGATCATATTTGGAAAAAGACAAAGTGGATTTTAGTTCCAACTATTCTGTTTGCTAGTCTTACTTTGTGCACTTACTCAATTACTGCTCTATTTCATATATTATGAGAAAAACAGCATTTAATCATAGAGATGAGGGAATTCAGAGGTAATCCCCATTAATGCATGGAAAGTATATTCTGATAGTTTTTGGCTGGCTGTGGCGAGGTATGAGGTATATGACAGTATGATAACACGAGCAAAAGAAGCGTCAAATCCTCTTGAACTAAAAGTGATTCTACAATTGTGAAGTAGTCACGGGCTTTCACAAAATACCTGTCAACTGTAATTGTGTTTAATCTCAATTTACCCGAATAAATAAATTTTTTACTAATTTGTGAAATTCCCTGTCTATTTTTAATTACCTTCCATAAGTCATACTATTGGTTTGCTGATTCCCTCAAACTTGTTTAACAAGTTAGATTTTAATTACATGAGATTTCCTCCTTTGTCCTCAACTATAGATCACACGTAATACATGAGAGTCATTCATTTGAGTGAGAATCTCAAAGCAGTTGAGTAGGCAGAAGAAGGAACCTCTTCATTAAGGATTAAAATGTATAGGTAAGTCCTGTTTTTGTCTTTGTAGCTTTAAAAGTTTTACTATATCTTACAGTATGGGAAAAATATAAAGAAGCTTTGGAAATTTTGACTGTGTCTTGCAATCTTCTAGTTACTTCTCTGAAAACTTCATTGAAACTCTTAGATATTGTTTAGATAATATGTGATATTATTTCCATAAGATACATAGTTGCTTAACTGAATTTTTTATAAAACAAATAACCACAAAAATTCAGCTTAGCGTTATGACAACATATCTTTAAATAAGGAAGTGGTTTTGTTTCTCATGTGCAATGTTTTAAAAAGTGGTGTGTGGATTTTAAAATTGCAATCTGTAAATAATTCTTCTGTTGTTTAGAAGTTTTTGAGGATTCTGTATTTTGACTTCCATTACAGTTTTATTGCTAGTTATTAAATAAATATGCCATAAATCCTAAAGTACACTTTTAGAAAGTAAAGACGGTATATTTCTACTTTGTATGTAGTCGTGGAATTATTTTCAAGAAAACTTATTTAAGAAAAAATAATATCTCTCTGGTTTTCTTTTCAGTTAATGAATAAGTATTTTCATATACTTTCACATAAAGAAAGCAAAAAGTTGTGGGATAATCAAGTCACACGTTAAAAATCTCAAAACAATGAAATAATTATATAACTTGGTATGTTTATATGTGCACTTAAGTATATATATATGCATATTATTTTTCTATGACTACAGAAAAACATGATACTGGTAAGTCATGCTGAAAGGATCAACAAAAACGTGAACAATGTGTTGGCTATAATAAGTGTAGTTGAATTTATTTTAAATCTCCTGAACACTGGAAAATTCAATCAAAAGTCAAACCATTTTAAATAATAAAAATATATATACAATTATATGCACTTGAATATATATATGAGTGAAAAGTGGATAGCTGTCTAAGCTTCCAATGATAGAAGAAATAAAATTATTTCATATTCATGCAATAGATACAAGACATTTATTAAAATAGCTTAAAAACCTATGAAGTAATTTGCATACTGAGTTTGTTCTCATTTTACTTGAAAAAAAAATAACAAATCACAAAATCATGTTTACTCATCAACTACTACTTTGTAAAGCTGTGCATGGGAGAAAGTCTAATAAAGAACATAGAACATTTATCAGGTTTGTTATACTAAAGCAGTGAGTTTATGAATTATATTTTTTATTATTCTTAAACCATCTATAACAGTGTAATATTATTTGGGTAATATAGTGCATTTTAAAATGTATTTGTGGAAATATTTTAATTTTAAAGAAATTGCTCTGATTTTAAAATATTGCCCTTATAAGCAGCCAAGTGCATATCAAAACATCATTCAAAGGAAAATAATAAAAGAAGACATGTAAATAACACAAATCCTGAAAGAGTTGTACAATTTCAGAAGGCTTTGAATCAATCAAATTTCTAAGTTGATCCATCGTACAGGAAATTCGCCACTCAATCAGAGCCAACCTTGCCAATTACAAAGAACTCTCCTGTGGAATTTTGGTTTCTAAGGATCACACTTTTGGAATATTTTATCTCTTTAATAGTCTGTACCTACTACTAATAAATAGTAGCTAGGTGTTAATATTATATAACGGAAGGGAAATTAAATTGTACAATATACTTTTTTTTAGGTAATTCTAGATAATTTTGGCATAATTTTAGATAAGTCTTCAGGTAATTCGGAAATATTTTTGGTTGAAAATGGGCTGCCTTGGATGGTTTGAGTGCTTTTTTATAAAAATTAAACTCCTAGCTCTCTTCCAAGCTGCTGCAAGATGAAATGCTCCTTTCTTTGTCTACCCTCTTCCCTTCTTTGAAGAAGGAAATCCCACCACGAGGCCCAGGAACCTGAACAGCTGTGTTACTCATTTCAGATCCTTGGTCACTTTAGATTTTCTCAGGTTCACCAAGGGAACATCTGTGCCCACCAGATTACATAAAAAGTGAGAGATGAGGTTTGGGAAATAGGATAAAGATTTATAAACTGGAATTCAGAATGTAGTTTATGGAAAGATTTAAGGTAAATGAGCATATCTCAGCTCAGGGACAGACAAGTCTTAGCAGGAGTCCTCCTACCAAACAAATCTTATTTCCATTTCTTCCCTTTTCCCAAGACATGATTAACTGACTGCAGAGACATGCCAAAGACAATCAGATGTCCTGCTTCCCAACAGTCCAAAAGAACCTGAGACAAAAGTTGAGGGGGGAAGAGCCATCGCTGTCAAAAATGCATTCCAAATTCTGCCTGTTGTTTCAATCCTGGTTTTTGAACTGCTATAGGAACTTAGAAAAACATGCTTAATAAATTGTAAATCATTAGGCAAAGAATATATTTCTTCATAGAAATTAGACAGGTGGACACAAATTTATATTTAGTCATGAAACCCAAAATAGTGCATTTAAAGTACAAGTTGTTGCCTATAAAATCTTGGGCCACATGCTAAAGCAGCTGCTGCATTTGGCCCAAATGTTTTTCTAATGATGGTGTGGGATGGGCCCGCACACAGGAGGATGGGCTGCAGTAAGTCATCTGGGATTATATATTTTCTAGCAAATTATCCCATGCCACTGCCAACTTGTCTTCCAGAAGGCACTCCCAATCTATTTTCTCAGTAATTCATTACTTACCTAATTCTTACGCTACTGCAACTCCCAAATAGCTATGACTGGCACCCCTAAAATAAGTCATGAGGAAGGGAATCAATATCTACTGCTGTAAGGGAACCTAAAGTTATCCAATCCAATTTCGTAAAAGGTATTGCTCCCATTTGAAGGATCCCATTCTTTTGAGCAAAGAAGACTTGGCAGAATTTCACAGTTTGGGGGAGTATTCTTTCTCTAGCTTTAGTGTGTGCTCATGACATATAAAATAAAAGCACCATCCCAAGTCTAAAGTCATTAATTGGATAACTGCCTAAGATAGTTGTAAATAAAATGGACTTTGGAGAAGTTTATACTGATGAGTCATTCAGCAGAAAGTAAAAGCAGATTCTATGGAATATTTACAATATCCATTTGCCAGAGGTTTTAACAAGTGTATCAATGATTAATAAAATAATACATGCACTCAGGGTTCAAGGCAGTGGAGCAATAAGTCATTGATGGGCATGGTGGTGCATGTATTCTGTGTATACCCTGAAGGCCGAGGTAGGAGGATCACTTGAGTCCAGAAGTTCAGTGTTGCAGTGAGCCATGATCGTGCCACTGCACTCCAGCTGTAGTGATGGAGCAAAAACCTACCTCAAAAAAAAAGATTAAAAATTATAAATAAACAAAAGCCACCAAGTATATTTTTTCTAAATTAGACAAGTTTTTATTCTGACAAGCTTACTTCTTAGCCAAGATATCTACCTGAGTTTAATAGTGCAAGAATAAATTAAGATGTGATGTTTCCTTCTCTGCTGAATATTTGTCAGCATAAAGACATGCCATACTATCCCCAATTTAAAAAAAATCCCTCCCTTGGCCCATATCCCCTGTCCAGCTATTGCCTCATTTCTCATCTCCTGCTCTTAAAAGCAAAACTATTCTAAAGATCTGTCTAAACCTATTGCCTCTATTTTTATTTTCTTCCTCCATTATCTCCTTTTGCTTTTTAACTTTTTATTATTAAACATATCATGTATAAATTCTAATTTTAAAAAATGAACCTCTGGGTACGGGACATCTATTAATAAAAATGGCATCACCAGTATCTCAGAAGACCCCGTGGGCACTTCCTGTCTACTAACTGACCTTTCCCCACTTTTCACGATGTAACTGTTACGTGGCATGGTATCTTAATTTCTTTCATTTTCTTCATAGTTTTACCATTCATAGATATATTCCTAAAAAACTTATGGTTTAATTCTACCTGCCTTTGAAAATCATATAAATGAGAACAATATTATATATTATATACAATAAAGTGTGCATCGCTTATTCGTGTTCATAGCTATATAATATTTCGTTGTAAGACTGTCCTATAACTTAAATATTTACTTTTCTAGTATATTGCCATTACAGATAATGTAGCACTGAATATTCTTACACAGGTCCAATGGTACAAACATGCAAGAGTTTCTCTTGGCTATGTTCCTAGAAATAGATTTTCTGAGTCAAATGGTGTATGCATTTTTATCTTTAATGCATCCTCCCTTTTCCTAGTGCAATAGTTTCTGATCTTCACAGCTCTGAAATAGCTCTTGTCTTGCTCCACATTGCAAAATCCAGTGCTCAGATCTCAGTGAGTTTACATAATCACTCCACCAGAGACCATTCTTTTCTTGAAACGTGATCTTCACAGAGCTTCCAAAACACCATTCTTTCCTTTTTTTTTTTTTTTTGCCTATCCCATGGGTCAAATTTTCTCAGTTTCTGTTACTAGATTCTACCCATTTTCCTGTCCCCCAGAATTTAAGTGCTTTTCTTCTTACATTCTGTGTGATTCCATCAGTCTCGTGGTTTTCAATATTACATAAGCTAATGATTCCCTAAGATAGATAATGATCCCTTAAGTCCACTATCATTCACTGGAAAACACAAAATACTGTCACTTCAAAGCAACTTTTAATATATGGCAAAATAAACCATTTTGAATCCTAAATACCTTAGTGCTTTATTTATACTTATACATCTTTTATGATATATATAATTATTCCATATATATAGATATGTTTTCAGACAAAGTCTCCCTCTGTCGCCAAGGCTAGAGTGCAGTGACACAATCTCGGCTCACTGCAACCTCTGCCTCCCGGATTCAAGTGATTCTCCTTCCTCAGCTGGAATTATAGGCACATGCCACCACACCTGGCCAATTTTTGTATTTTTAGTAGAGACGAGGTTTCACCATGTTGGTCAGGCTGGTCTCAAATTCTTGACCTCATGATCTCATGCTCTGCCTGCCCTGGCCTCCCAAAGTGCTGGGATTACAGGCATGAGCCACTGCACCCAGCCAGTTACTCCTTATATTATAATTCATTCATTCATTCATTCATTGAGTGTCTA